AACGAGGAGGAGGAGGAGCGCCGCTACTACCGCCGCAAGCGCCTGGGCGTCCTCAAGAACGTGCTGGCGGCCAGCGCGGGGGGCACGCTCACCTACGGCGTCTACCTGGGTGCGTACCCCGCGGGCGGGCCCCTCGGCCCCGCACCCCCGCCCTCCCCGTCCAGGCCCGGTCTGGGGAACAGAAACCTTGGGGACCAGTCGGCCTCCCTTCCTCTTTCGCTTCCCAGTCCGCTGCCCGCGCAGCTGCAGCTGCCCGGCTCCCCGCGTGGGGGTGGGGTGGGACCGTGCGTGTCTCCCCGCCCCAGCAGGAGCCCCGCGAACACGTGGGCAGGGGGCTGGGGTCCGAGAGACCTGCCGAGCGACGCAGGCGGGCCCAGGCTGGCAGGACGCTTGCCCAGCCCGGCTCTCCCCCCCACCCCCATGCGCGTTGGACAGGGGACCCTTTGGCACAGGCGTTCCAGCCTCTGCTCGCTCTGCTTGGTGCCCCGTCCCCCAGCCAGGCCGCCCCCTCCACGCGCTCCCTGTCCCCAGGCCTCCTGCAGATGCAGCTGATCCTGCACTATGACGAGACCTACCGGGAGGTGAAATACGGCAACATGGGGCTGCCCGACATCGACAGCAAGATGCTCATAGGCATCAACGTGACGCCCATCGCCGCCCTCCTCTACACGCCCGTGCTCATCAGGTGCCTGCTGCTGCCCCGCAGGCCCGGGCTTTCACCCCCACCTCGAAGGGGTGCAGGGGCTGCCCTGCTGGTCTTGGCCGGGAGTTGGGAGGCACCTTGCCTATCTGGAGGGGTGAGAGGGAAGGGGTGAAGCCCCGGCTTGGGGAAGGAAACAGCTTTGCCCAGGGCCCATATGGTTTCACATTCACCCAGGCTCCTTCCTTCAGCTTGTCTGGGAACCATGTGGCATCGTCCCCATGCCCTTTCCTCTGTGGCCTGGAGCCACAGTGACCTTTTGGGGTCAGGGGTCAGGGCTGTAGAATCTCTGGCCAGAAGCTGATCAGCAAGACCCAGGCACCCACCCCTGGCCCAGTCAGCTGTGGC